TTCTCCTTCCCACTCGCCTTTGCAGCTGAACAGCTGACGGGCAGTGGCGAGCTGTGCTGGCAGGCGGAGAGGGCTTCCTCCTCCAAGTCCTGGATCACCTTCAACCTGACGAACCAGGAGGTGTGTGTAAAACTGGTTACCCAGGACCCCAAGCTCAGGATGGGCAAGAAGCTTCCGTTTCACCTCACCCTGCCCCAGGCCTTGCCTCAGTATGCTGGCTCTGGAAACTTCACCCTGGCTCTTAAGGGGAAAACGGGCAAGTTGCATCAGGAAGTGAAACTCGTGGTGATGAGAGGTGAGGGGCCAGGCCAGGGAGGGGAGGGTAAAGGAAGGAGGTAGAGGGGCCTGGCCCAGGGCTCCTTCTGAGACAGGCCAGGCCCCAGGAGGGGATGCCCAGGCCCTGGTCACCTGGATGAAGTGAGAGAGGGCCCTCTGGGTTTGGGGCTGGTTTTGAACTGCCACCTCCATGAGCCAGCTTGGGGCTGGCTTCACTGAAGCTCCCCAAAGCACTTGGGCTAAGAACCAGGGTTTCAGTTCTGCCTGTGACTAACCCTTTGTGACCCTGGCTAAGTCCCCTTCCACTTCCGGCCTGCTTCCTGACCTGTCTAATAAGGATAATGAAATCTGTTCTCTGTACGATAGTAATGATGATAATGTCAAGCTCCAAACTGAGTTTCTGGCTTCCTTATCTCCTTATCCTCGTAACAACTCCACAAATAATAATGGCTAAGACTTGTTGCTTAGCACGTGCCAGGCCCCATCCAAACACTTTACATATATACATGCGTTTAACTCCTGGTGGACGCAGGTTAAGTCACTTGTCCAGAGACACAGAGCTGCTAAGCAGTGGAGCTGGGATTCAAATCCAATACCACTGGACCCCAAACACTGTTTTTCCTCATATGACTGCATGAGAACCTGCTTGAAAAGGCTAAAAGAAGGCCGCCCATGTAGAGTATCATTTTAATCGTTCTACTGAATCTCCTCAGTGCTTGAAGGTGCTGGGGACCCAGAGACCCAGGCTTGCAATCTTAGCCGCTCTTTCCTCTGCAGCGACTCAGCTCCAGAACAATTTGACTTGTGAGGTGTGGGGACCCACCTCCCCTAAGCTGGTGCTGAGCTTGAAACTGGAGAACCAGGAGGCAAAGGTCTCTAAGCGGGAGAAGGCGGTGTGGGTGCTGAACCCTGAGGTGGGGGCGTGGCAGTGTCTGCTGAGTGACTCAGGACAGGTCCTGCTGGAATCCAAGGTCGAGGGTAAGGACCCAGTTTCCATGGGCTCTGCCTCCTGCCCTGCGGGACCTTCCTGTGGTTGGCAGAGACCATCCCAGATTCCTAGCCTCCCAATGCCTGAGTTGGGGGGTTATGGGTATGGTGTCCTGGAGGCATAGAAGTGATGAGGTGTGGTGGGGTGTGGTCCTGGGCACCAGGCTGCCAACTGCAGTTCTTCAAGTTCCTACTCCCTCAGGTCTACAGCCGAGGAATGGGGCCCACCTGACCAAGAGCCCCCTCTCTGGCTCCTGGCTTTTCTCCAAATCCAGACACACACATACACACACACTCACATATGCACTCTCACATACACTCACACACACACAGTCATACACACACATCACACACAGTCACACACACATGCACTCACACACACGGACACACACATACACATACTACATCCACACCCACACTCACATCCATGTACTCACATACGCATATATTCTCACACACACACACTCACACACATATACTCTCACACACACATTTACGCACATACTCCTACCCACACCCACACACTCTCATGCACACTCACACACTCTCAGACACACACTCACACACACACACACACACCAGGGTCTAGGCCACTGTTTCTACATCTCCAGAGTGACCCATGGTCTCTAAAACATAAAACCACTTCCCTTTGAGAGCCCCCAGGCACCTCACCCTCTCTCCCAACCCCAGGATCAAACCCAAAACTGGCGAGGAGGGGTTGGGGGGCAGTCCCCTGCTCCCCAGAGGAGGGTGGTGCATTGAGCGCATTTCTCTCTCTTGCAGTTCTGCCCACATGGTCTCCCCCGGTGCAGCCAATGGCCCTGATTGTGCTGGGGGGTGTCGCGGGCCTTCTGGTTTTTACTGGGCTAGGCATATTCTTCTGTGTCAGATGCCGGCATCGAAGGGTGAGTGACCCCACATGGGGTCCCCACAGAGCCCTCAACCCTCAAGCCCCTGAGTCCTGTACCAGGAGATCCTTGCCTGGCTCCCTCTGCCCACCCCTAAGCTCCCTTGCTGCCCTGTCCCAGATCCCTCTCAAGGGAGAGACAGGAAGGAGCAGAGAGTAAATCCAGGACAGATAGCCTGAGCGGAGTAACTGCTTCTCCTCTCCCAGTTTCCCCCACAGCCCCCACCAAGGGGCACCTCCCTTCTGGAGGCCGGGGACCCTCATGACTCCCTTCCTTGTCCCTGGACAGCGCCAAGCAGAGCGGATGTCTCAGATCAAGAGACTCCTCAGTGAGAAGAAGACCTGCCAGTGCCCCCAGTAAGGGTCTGGGAGGAGGGCTTGGGGGAGGGGAAAGGGGGATGGGAGGGAGGGAGAGGGGAGGGGTACGAAGGGGAGCAAATGGGGGCAGGAAGGGAGGATGGAGAGGAGGAAGGAGTTGAGGAAGGAGAGGTGGGGGGGTGGTGGAAAGGAGATAGGGGCTGAAGGGGTGTGGTGGAGAGGATGGAGGGGTGGGAAAAGATGGCCAGGAGCTAGGAAGGAGGCAGGAGTGGGAGGGCAGCTGAAGGAGCAGCAGGCCAGGGCCTTTCTGGACTCGTTCTGCAGCTGTGGTCCAGAGGCTAGCACTGCGTTGGAAAAGAAAAGCCATGGAAGTGTTAGAACACAAAGGGGTTGCACCGGGGACAGACCTCCTCCCCTTCTTTGTTCCTGCAGCCGGTTTCAGAAGACATGTAGCCCCATTTGAGGCATGAGGCCCAGGAGATCCCACTCGAAGCCTCCCCAGGGGTCTGCCCTACATTTCCCATTGGGCTCATGGCCTGCGGACCAGATGAATGTAGCAGATCCCAGGCCTCTGGCCTCCTGTTCTCCTCCTCCACAGTTTCTCATTGTTTCTCCTCATCTGTTCCCAACCCCTGGTTAGGCCCCAGCTTTATCTGTTGAGTGTTGCTCTCAATTTTCCAGAGGCTTAATCACACCATTCTTCCCCCATTTCCTTTCCCTTCAAGCCCTAGCCCTTCTCTTATTATTTCTCTCTGACCTTCTCCCCACTGCTCATTTGGATCCCAGGGGAGTGTCCAGGGTCAGCCCTGCCTGGCATGCAGGGTGAGGCTAGGTGTCTGGAAGCATGGAGCCCAGGACTGTTGTTTTACAGGACAGGACCCTGGAACCACAGAGGGCAGGAACTTGCACAGAATCACACAGCCAAGCCAGTCAAGGTCAGATGCAGATCCAAAGGTTTCTGACAGCCAGCACCTCCTGCCCCATGCCGCCCGCCTCTCACCCTGTGTGGGCAGGGCCACAGACTCACATCCTGACCTTGCATAAACAGCCCCTCTGGACATATCCCCATGTACACAGCCACAAGAGAGGTTTCACATCCTCTGTCTATTTGAGACTTACAAAAACCCTACAAGCCTGGCAGTAACAGAACGAAAATGATCATCTCCAGTTTATAGACCAGAACCAGAACTTGGAGAGGCTGGATGATTGATTACCCAAGATCATACAAACGCTGGAGCTGGGACTAACCCAGGCCCCTTGTCCCAAGTTCCACTGCTGCCTCTTGAATGCAGGGACAAATGCTACACGGCTCTCAGCAGTGGCTAGTGGTGGGTACTCAGTGAGTACTTTTGGGTTCACAGCGGCACAGCACCCATGGGAAGGCCCATCTCAGGGAGTTTATGAGCATGGATGAAGGCGTCCCTGTCTAAAATCTCTCCTTCATCACCTTCTGGTGGCAGAGTCCTGTTACCAGAGGACAAAGCCTTTGGCTCTCCTAATCAGAGTGGAGGCTGGGAGCACAGGCCCTGTGGGAGAGAATGCCCAGTGACCAGCCACTCACCCTGTGCAGAACCTTCTGGAAGTGAGCTTTGCTGGGAGATGGGGTGGCTACACTGAGAGAGAACGCTCTAAGGGACCACAAAGGTGATTGTGCCAGCCTCTGTGCCTGCCCCACGCCCCCTTTACCCTCCTCCAAGACCATTCAGGACACAGGGAAATCAGGGTTACAAATCTTCCTCTTCTTGATCCATTTTGCTCAGGATCCCCTCTCTTCCTACCCTTCCTCACCACTTCCCTTGGTCCCAACTCCGTTTCCCTCTTTTCTTCTCCTCCTATCTTTAAAGCCTACCTCTTCCAGGAAGACCACCCTATTGCTGCTGGGGCTCCCAATTTGCTTACTTTGCATTTGTACCCACTCTCCACCCCTGCTCCCCTGAGCTGAAAGAAAAAGACAATAAACTTACTATAAAGAAGACGCTCTTCGTGTGTGTGTGTGTGTGTGTGTGTGTGTGTGTGTGAGAGAGAGAGAGAGAGAGAGAAAGAGAGACCCCTTCTCTGGGGACCAGGAATCTTTTGGGCTTTGGGGGTCAGACCCAGAGGAGAGTTGCCTGCAGAGTGTGTCCCAGGAAGGAGATGAAGTTTCCCTGGAGAGGGAAAAATTCTGTGGAAGCTGGCTGCCCACCTCCACACCCCAAAGGGCTCTACGTGGGCCTGTGTGTGTGTGAGGCTGAGACTTTGTAATTACACGTGTGTGATATACTGTGGGGGAGAGACTCAGAGTGGTGTGAGCGCTCCTGGTGTATATGTGTGTGGCAGAGAAGGACTATGAGAAGCTGTAACGTGTGTGCAAATTGTATCCCCAACATGTGTGTGTGTGTGTGCGCGCGCGCGCGCGCGCGTGTTTGTGTGCGTGTGTGTGTGCATGTGCCCACATCCTTTTAGCTCGTGCACACCCACCCCCAACTCCACAAGCAGCCTCAGCATGCACTGTGAGCCCCTCGCTCCCAAACCCAAGGCCCAGCCCTCACACAGATGCACACGGCGACACACGCTTCCTCCTCCCCGAACAGCCAGCTCCTCAGTCCCTAACAACACCAGCTGCCTCTAGGAGGTTGTGTTCGTGTTGAAAACGGGAAAGGGTGGGGGCAGGACATGAACCATTTCACCAATGAAGCCGGTTCCCAGCCCTCCTCCTCACCCTCTCCCTCTCGGCGCCTTCCTTGCCCCTCCTCCCCAGTCGCCACCGTCCAGTTCCCCACCCTGCACGCGTTCCCCCCGACAAAGCCGTCCTGCAGTCCCGCTAGCCTGCGCTCACTGGCGGGATGACCCCAGGAGAGAGGGTCCCGGAGAGTGAGAGGGGAAGAGACTGAGTGAGCCTCGGGCTGAGCCCAGGAGGCCGAGACTGAGGGGGGAGGAGGGAGGCCCGGGGGGGAGGGAGGGAGGGAGAAAGGGAAGGAGGGAGGAGGGCGGGCGAGCTGGAGCCGGCAGGCAGCGGGAGCCCGAGAGAGCCGCGTTGGGAGTGCAGTCTTCAAGGCAGTGCTGGGCGCAGCCCGAGGTAAGACGACCCCTGACCCGTCCTCCCGTCGCCTCCCCTATCCACCCCGCAGCTACCTCCTCTCCCTTTGGCCAGCCCCTCCTCCTCAGCCACCTGCTGTTTCAGCCCTGGAGAACCTGGAGGGGGACAGGAGGGAGGAGCCGCCTGACCTTACCCCTTTACCCCAAAGGGTGAGAGACCCCGTTGGCCAGGGAACCTCCCAGATCCCCCTCCTACCTTCCTCTGATCTCTCCCTGTCCTTCACCTCCCTCTCTCTGTCCTTCACATCCTTCCTACCTCCTTCCCTCTCTGACTCCCTATCTCTTTCTTCCTGAACCCACCAGCTGTGCCTGGGTGGAGGTGGGTGGGAAGGGGTCCGAGGCTGTAGGAGAGGACACTGGGGGCTGCTCTTGGCCAAGTCCTTCCACCTCCCTCTGGCTGGCCATTGCCATGGCAACTAGGGTGTACTGGGCTCCGGAGGGAAGCCAAGGGTGGGGGTGGACCAGGACCTCTTGGAGAAGGCAAGGGTCTGAGCTGTTTCCACGGGAAACAGACTCTTTCACTGCTGTGCCCCATTTTCACCCCACTTACCCTAAAGCCATTACGCCCTTCCTTACAGCCCCTCTCTGTTCAGGGTTGCACCCGATTCCCTCCTACCCCCTTCCCAGGGCTCACTGAAGCTCAGCGTCACCCACTAAAACTGGGACCATCCTTCCTCCCATCAGAGGGAAACTGAGGCTCTGGGCCAGGGTGGAAATAATCAAGGTCTCCCACTTGGACATTTGGCTTTTCTTCTCAGCCTCCTAGCCATGCTCCCTCCCTCCCTCCTCCAACCCCTCCTCCCTCCAAAGCCTCCTCTCCAGGGGGTTTGAGCTTTTCCTGCTATTTTCAGATACTACCACTTTGCCCCCTCTTTCTCTTCTGCTCAAACTCTCCTCCTTCTCCCTAGTTCCCCCTCTTTCCATTTCTGGATGCTTCTGATGTCAGCGGTTTCCCCGCCTTCAGGTTCCCTAGCACCCCCTTCGGTCCAGACTCCTTATTCCCATTTTCCCAGATCTGGGTAGCTGGAGGGTGACCACCCAGGGGAAGTAAGGGCTAAGCACCGAGACCCCCACATCCAGCAGACCAGCAGGTAGGGGAGAAAGGCTGTGATGTCACATCCCAGTTCACGGTGAACCCTTAAGAGGAAATCAGTCATGTGTCTCCCATCAGTAGCTCTGAAGAGACGTTTAGGGACAGAAAGATAGGGGTAGAATAGTGCTGAGCAGGGGATATTTGAAGAAGGAACCTGGGAGTTCCAGGGCGGAGGAGAAATGGCTAAAGGAGACAGGGAAGTGGGAATACCTTCTTCCCTCAAGATATGGAAGAGTGGGGCTCTCATCTATGCTGGGTGTTTGGCTGTCTGATTTAAGGTAAAGGAATGTTCTGAATGACCCTTGGGCCTAGTAATCAGTCCTGCCTATAGTTTCAAGAAAGTGGGCACAGGAGGCTGGAGAACAGCCTAGGCCCTACCTTTGCCCTCTCCCTCCCACATCTCATCTTTCCCTTGCAGCCTGTCCAGGGGGCTGAGCCCCATCCCCAAATCCCTGTGGCATCCAGAAGATTCCTGACTGGTCAAGAACCAGAGGAAAAAGAGACCTGGAAGTCCCAGCATGGGGACCAGAACCCCCCAGCCAGCCTCATAGTTGGGAAAGTAGCCAGCTTGCCCATCAATTGCAGGGATGCTTAAGGAAAGCCCCGGCCAGTATGAAAGCTGAGGACTGCCTCTGCTGACCCTCAGTCTCCTCCCCTGCCCTCCACATCTGCCCTCAGCTGGGTCGATCATGCAATGCTGAGCACTGGGGTGGGCCTGGGGGTGGCCTGCCGGCCAACAGGGCAAGGATTGTGGGCACCATGGGCGTGTTTGTGAGTGGGGCTCCTGGGTGAGACCTAGCCCCCACCCCCACGGAGCTCAAGGGGGTGGGGGGCTGAGGATAGGATGGCTCGGGGCGGGGTGGGGGCAGAGGAGGCCTCCCTGCGCTCCAACGCATTGTCCTGGCTGGCCTGCGGGCTCCTGGCGCTGCTGGCCAACGCCTGGATCATCCTCAGCATCTCGGCCAAGCAGCAGAAGCACAAGCCACTGGAGCTGCTGCTCTGCTTCCTAGCGGGCACACACATACTCATGGCAGCTGTGCCCCTCACCACCTTCGCGGTGGTGCAGCTACGGCGTCAGGCTTCCTCCGACTATGACTGGAATGAGAGCATCTGCAAGGTCTTCGTGTCCACCTACTACACCCTGGCCCTGGCCACCTGCTTCACGGTCGCCTCGCTCTCCTACCATCGCATGTGGATGGTGCGCTGGCCCGTCAACTACCGCCTCAGCAACGCCAAGAAGCAGGCGCTGCACGCTGTCATGGGCATCTGGATGGTCAGCTTCATCCTCTCCACGCTGCCCTCCATTGGCTGGCACAACAACGGCGAGCGCTACTATGCCCGAGGTTGCCAGTTCATTGTCTCCAAGATTGGCCTTGGCTTTGGCGTCTGCTTCAGCCTCTTGCTACTTGGGGGCATTGTCATGGGGCTGGTCTGCGTGGCCATCACCTTCTACCAGACACTGTGGGCCCGGCCCCGGAGGGCTCGGCAAGCCCGGAGAGTGGGGGGTGGCGGGGGGTCCAAAGTGGGTGGGCCAGGGGGCTTGGGTACCCGGCCAGCTTTTGAGGTGCCAGCCATTGTGGTGGAGGATGCCCGAGGGAAACGGCGGTCCTCGCTGGATGGCTCAGAGTCTGCCAAGACGTCCCTGCAGGTCACCAACTTGGTCAGCGCCATCGTCTTTCTCTATGACTCACTCACAGGGGTGCCCATCTTGGTGAGATCGGGGTCCTCCCCACCTGTTCTCCCCAAAATCCAGGCCCCAGCATCATCACCTGACCTCCAACTTCATCAGCCATACAGCAGCTCCGTCATCTCTCCTCCAGTTCCATCATCCATCTTCCTCTCCTCTGTCCACCCCACACTCCATCTGTGGCCCCCATCTTTATCATCTGTCTTCTAGTTCCCACTACCCTGTCTCCCCCAGCTCCAGCACCTGCTTCAGTTCCAACTCCTTAGCTCCATCATCGTCCTTCAGTTTCGCTATCTGTCCTCCAGCTCCATCATCCATCCTGCAGCCCCAAGGTTCAGCTGCAGACCTCTCATCCAGCTGCTGGGCTCCATGTTCCATTCGCTCTGTCCTCCTGGATGCCAAATGGTCACTGAGCACTCTTGGGGGGAAACCCCATAGGGCTCACCCTGCCACCCCATCAAGTCCCTGTTCCTGGGTTCCTCTCTGTCTCCATGCTTCCTGCTCCACCTCTGTTCCTCTCCCTCCTGACCACAGGGCTCTGTCTCCAGCACTCTCCCCGACCTTCCTCTGAGTCAGTCCCTTGCCTCTGTTCACTCCATCTCCACCTCCAGCTTCACCTCTGTTGGATCACAGGGGATCACCCATCACTTCCGGCTTCCGGCGGTCTTTCTCACCGGCCGCACTAGGATATGGGGGTCAGGTAGGCTCCTCGGCTCTGGCCCTGACCCAGCCCGTTCCCACCCCTTCCCTAGGTGGTGAGCTTCTTCTCCCTCAAGTCGGATTCGGCGCCCCCCTGGATGGTGCTGGCTGTGCTGTGGTGCTCCATGGCACAGACGCTGCTGCTGCCCTCCTTCATCTGGTCCTGCGAGCGCTACCGCGCCGACGTGCGCACAGTGTGGGAGCAGTGCGTGGCCATCATGTCTGAGGAGGATGGCGATGACGGTCAGAGGAGGGACTGGGCTTTGGCTTTCCTGGACATCTATCTATTCCCTTTTCTGCCGCTCCTTCTCAGCCGGAGGATGGGCTGCCCTGGAGTGCCCCCTAATGGACAGAACCTGCACCACCCTGGGCTCCCCTTTCCCTAAGCCGGCACCCTGCTGTCACTGCTTCCTGCAGCACTCAGGGCTCCCTTCACTGGGCCTAGGCTCCCCTCCAGAAGCCCACACTGCCCAGCTCTGGCACTAAGGGGAAGCTGAGCTTCTTGAGAGAGGCCCCCAGCTCTAGGGACAGCTCTTGGGGGAGGGCAGGTAATTGTTTCAATAACTTCATCTGTATGTATGAAGCACTCCACTCAGGATTTAGCACTGAACGCAGCAAATGCTAGCCACTCTCACTGTCCTCTTGAAACATACAGGCTAATGGGAACTAAAGGGGTCTCTGGGAGCTTATAAAGGCAATGGGGAGAGGGTATGTGTTCCCTGCCTGTAATCCCTCTGCCCATTTTCTTTCCTAGATGGGGGCTGTGACGACTTTGCAGAGGGCCGAGTTTGCAAAGTTCGCTTTGATGCTAACGGAGCCACTGGACCTGGGAGCCGGGACCCTGCCGAGGTGAAGCTGCTGCCTGGAAGGCACATGCTCTTCCCCCCTCTTGAGAGAGTCCACTACTTACAGGTATGGAACTGGGGGATACATTTCTTACCCTTGGGACCCTTATCGCTTATCTTCAGTGGCTGTTATGCACCCCAATCCCCTCTTCCCTAGTCCTGGCTTTCAGGGCACCATAAGAGCTGGATGAAAGAAAGCTATAGCAAGAGATGGAGCCCTTCAGACCTCGTGGGGCTAGGTTTGACCACGAGAGCAAATGTTTTGAAGAAGGTTAAGAAGGTGGCACCGTCTTGTGGAGTCCCCACTTGGTTCCTGCCTCTGCCTCTGTCCCTGCAGCACCTCCAGGTCTTACCCGCTCCTTTTCCCAGGTCCCCCTATCCCGGCGTCTGTCCCATGATGAGACAAACATCTTCTCTACCCCTCGGGCACCAGGCTCCTTCCTGCACAAGTGGTCATCCTCTGATGACATCCGGGTCCTGCCAGCACAGAGCCGGGCCCTAGGGGGCCCTTCTGACTACCTGGGACAAAGACACAGGCTGGAAGATGAGGAGGACGAGGAGGAGGCTGAAGGTGGGGGGCTGGCCAGCCTTCGCCAATTCTTGGAAAGTGGGGTTCTGGGGTCAGGTGGGGGACCGGCACGGGGTCCTGGTTTCTTCCGGGAGGAGATCACCACCTTCATCGATGAGACACCTCTGCCTTCTCCGACTGCCTCACCAGGGCACTCTCCTCGTCGGCCCCGGCCACTGGGTCTCTCACCCCGCCGACTCTCCCTTGGGTCCCCTGAGAGCAGAGCCGTTGGACTTCCTTTGGGACTAAGTGCAGGGAGACGCTGCTCCCTGACCGGGAGTGAAGAAAGCGCAAGGGCTTGGGGAGGATCCTGGGGCCCAGGCAACCCCATCTTTCCCCAGCTGACCCTGTGAGCCCAAGCGGGCCGGCTGAACTCAGAGGAAGAAGCCTGAGTAACACCTCATTCTGGCCCTGAGAGTAGGGCAGCTGCCTCCAGACTCTGGGGAGACGGGCGCTAGATCTGGGGCTCAGAAGGCCCTGCTCTCTCCCATCCAAGTGACCAGATGCCCTACTACCTTTCATCACCCCTAGCAAAATGTATTAAAGTCTGAAGTGTTGCCATGGAAACCTCAGTGTCCAGGGTACTGTGGTGGCGAGGGGCTTGGAGGGTGGAGCGGCTCACAAAGGACTCGACAGGGCAGGGGCAGCAGAGGCACAGAGGGACACACGGAGAAATGATCACGTGCTCCGCCTAGCAGCCTCTCGCCGGGACAGGCTGGGAGGAGCAGATCCTGCTGGGGGCGGGGCTTGAGGACACACTGGAGTTTGTTGGTTTAGGGTGTGAAGGATGTCTGTTCAGATTTGCTGAGGTGGTTTTAGAGCGTGGCTCCAGCACAGTGCCCAGCTCTCCTTCTGACCCCAGATCCATCCAGGGGCTCACTTTATGGGCAGGAAATGGCTCGGGGCTGACGTGGTGTCCCAGGCCTGGACACCTCCTCCCTGCTGCATTTTAAAGCTGTTTCTCCAAAGGAGTGCAGGGGTGGATGAGTGTGCCAGGGGAGAGGGGGAGGCGGCTTCACACACTCCTTTTCCTGGACCCAGAAGAGTGTGTGTGGAGGGAACACAGCTCCAGTAGTTACCTCCAGGCCTCAGGGGCTGGAGTCACCGCTGGTACTCCATGGATGCCCAGGCCTGCTCCGGTTCCCGCCTTTTGCCCTACTCCTCCGCGCAGTTTCTCCCTGTCATTCCACACTAGACCAGCTTTCTCCACTCTGCACTCTTCTCTCTCCATCTCTCACAGGGGCCTCTCTCACCGTCGGGTCTCAGCCCCCCCCCCACCCCCTCGGCCTCCCTCCTTCCTTCTCCCTTCCTCTCCCTCCGCCTCTCCATCCTTTCATTCCCTCCCCCTTCTCCCCTTTCCTCTCCCTCCCTCTCGTCTCCCGCATTTCCCCTCCGCGGCTCCGACAACATGCTCCGGCTCCTCCGGCCGCTACTGCTACTGCTGCTGCTGCCTCCCCCGGGGTCCCCCGAGCCTCTCGGCCTGGCCCAGCTGTCCCCGGGGTCGCCCCCGCAGGCCCCGGACTTGCTCTACGCGGACGGGCTGCGCGCCTATGCGGCCGGGGCTTGGGGGCCGGCCGTGGCGCTGCTGCGGGAGGCACTGCGGAGCCGGGCGGCGCTGGGCCGAGCGCGGCTGGATTGCGGGGCGAGCTGCGCGGCCGAGCCGGGCGCCGCGCTCCCCGCGGTGCTTCTCGGCGCCCCGGAGCCCGACTCCGGGCCGGAAGCCACGCAGGGTTCCTGGGAGCAACAGCTCCTCCGTGCCGCGCTCCGCCGCGCAGACTGCCTGACCCAGTGCGCGGCGCGGAGGCTGGGCCCCGGGGGCGCGGCGCGGCTTCGCGTGGTGAGAGCGCTCCGGGACGCGTTCCGCCGTCGGGAGCCCTACAACTACCTGCAGAGGGCCTATTACCAGGTGGGGAGCGCGCCGGGCGCCTCCGAGGGTCCCAGCCCTCACCACGACTCTGCTCTTCTTTGCGCTGCCCGGGAGTGGGCGGAATGCTGCTGCCCGGGCCCAGGGCGGGGCTGGGGGCGTACCGCGGCCTCTGCCTTACAGCAGGCTAAGCGACGGCGAGGACCCGTTGAGATCGCAGAGGAGCAGCCTAGGGGAGTGCAAGCAGAGTGGGAATGGGGCGGGGTGGGGGGGTCGTGAGGCGGGACCGGAGCAGATCGAAGATGGAGGGACCGGGCCGGCTCTTCCTAGCAATGAAGCGGAGGCGGTGGGGGTGAAACCGGCCGTCGGACGGGAAGTGTGCGTGGGTGGGTGGGTGTCGGGAGTGGTGGTGAGTATGAACCTTTGCTTGGGGCTTCAGGGAGCCTCGGAAAGGAAGGGGCTGACGGAGGCAAGGTTGGGGCCCCCCCCCGAGGCCGGACCTCTGCGGGCGGGCTGGGGACGCCGCCGCTACCGGTACCGCAGCAGCTGCCTACGTGGCTGGGGAAGCGGGGCGCCGGTTGCACTCACCTCAGCCCAGGGTCCTAGAGACCTGCGGGTTTGCCTAGTCGCGCAGGTCTCCCCCGCTTCCCCACCCCACTTAAGCCATCACTTCTGCCTGGTCTCCCAAACCGAGGTCCTGAAGTCCCGAGGCCCATGTCCCACCTAACTCCGACGTCTTCAGACCCCCTTTCCTTCGGTGCCAGCCTTCTGAGAGTCCCAACGTTCTGGCTTCTAGGGGGTCTGCAGTTTGGGAGGTGGGCGGTTCTGATTGGCCGGTCTTCCATGAGGCTCTTGGGCACCCAGAGTGAGTATCTGAGGTAGGATGGGGAGGCTGGCCAGAGGGCAGAGGTCTGACCCCTGTCCCAGGGCTCTGATGCCCTCCTCCCTCTGCCTCCTCAGTTGAAGAAGCTGGATCTGGCAGCGGCAGCAGCACATACCTTCTTTGTAGCAAACCCCATGCACCTGCAGATGCGGGAGGACATGGCTAAGTACAGACGGATGTCGGGAGTTCAGCCCCAGAGCTTCCGGGACCTGGAGACGCCCCCACACTGGGTGAGATCCCCAGCACTATGCCAGTCTTGCCCCCAGCCTTTTCCTGGCTGGATACTCAGGCCTCACTAAACTGCAGCCCTGTGTGGCTTGAGCATCCAGAGATGGGGTAATGATCCTCTGCGACTCTAGGCGGGGAGTCCTTCTCTAGGACTTTGCTTCCTTCCTGGATGATCACTGGAGTCTGATGTTCCAACATTATGATTCTGAGGCCCACCCTTATTCTTCCCCATGGTGAAGGGGGACATGGAATCCTTGCCCCAAATGAGGCCACACTCCTCTCTACCTCCCAGACTCATTTAGCAACTCCCTGTATCCCAAGTGACTGACTGCTCCCTTCCCCAACAGGCGGTCTATGACACCAGCCTGGAGCTACTGGGGCGCCAGGAAGCAGGACTGGCACTGCCCAGGCTAGAGGAGGCCCTGCAGGGGAGCCTGGCCCAGATGGAGAGCTGCCGTGCTGACTGCGAGGGGCCTGAGGAGCAGCAGGGGGCTGAAGAAGAGGAGGAGGATGGGGCTGGGAGCCAGGGGGGCCTCTATGAGGCCATTGCAGGTAAGGGGCTGGGAGTGTGTCGGAGGTGGGTTGGTGCCAAGAGAGGGGCATGCAGAAGCTGAATGGCTCATGGGTCTCCTTTGCAGGACACTGGGTTCGTGTCCTGCAGTGCCGGCAACGCTGTGTGGAGGAGATGGCCACACGCCCTGGTCGAAGCTTCCCTGTCCCAGACTTCCTTCCCAGCCAGTTGAGGCGGCTGCATGAGGCCTATGCTCAGGGTCAGTTGGGCAAGGGTGGAAACAGGGAGCAAAGATTTGCCTCTGTTGCTGTCCTGAGCTCCATCTCTCTATCCCTCCCATCTGTCTCTGCATTTCACTGTCAGGGCTCCATGGGAATCATCACTTCACAAGGACTCTAATTTGCTCTCTTTTGGCGCCTGTGACAAGCTCAGGAGATGGGCTTCCTTCTGCCTTGCTGCTTCTCACCTTCCTTTATTTTCCCCCCCTTCCTCTTCTTTGAACTCTCCAGCTAAGGTATGTTTGCACCAGAGTTTGAAAGAAGCAGCAGCTGAACTTGTCTGCCACTGGGAGGGGGGCTTGTGGAGCTGGCTGGTTGGCCTCCGGAGACCACCTTCTCCAGCACTGCCTCTGCCCAAGGATCAACGTGCTCTATGTCTTCATCCCCCTACCCCTGACCTTGTCCCTCCCTCTCCAGTGGGCAATCTGTCCCAGGCTATAGAAAATGTCCTGAGCGTCCTGCTCTTCTACCCAGAGGATGAGGCTGCCAAGGGGGCTCTGAACCAGTACCAGGCCCAATTGGGAGAGCCGAGACCTGGCCTTGGACCCAGAGAGGTAACCCCCTCTCCACACTTAACCAGGAGGTAGCCCCAAATCAAATAAATAGACCTGAGAAGTCACCTGGGCTCCTGCCCCCCGCTGGCCTCTTGCCCAAGCACTCTAGTCACCCAAAGGACACCAAGTCCAGCATCTGACTTTCGTCCCCACTCCCTGCTCCCCAAGGCAGCCTGGAGTTCTGATTCCAGCCCCCAGCCCCATCTCTCTTGCCTTTACCTCACTCCTGCCTGCCCTCAGCCCCGGAACTCATACACACACACACCCCACACACACAGCCACTCCCTACAGCCTTTCCAGTTTGAGCCCAGACACTCTGAAGCTGCTGAGGGGGAACGTTGAACAAAGGAACCAGGGGGCATGGTGCCAGTTTCAAAGAAGTGGAGCATGCAGGCAGTGCCCGGGAGCCTGGGCTTCCTGCTCTCCAGCCCCTCTTCACTCTCTCATCTCACCCTCAGGACATCCAGCGCTTCATCCTCCGATCCCTGGGGGAGAAGAGGCAGCTCTACTATGCCATGGAGCACCTGGGGACCAACTTCAAGGATCCTGTGAGTCACTCCACTTCTGTCCCATCCCACCCTTCTGCGCTCCCAGGAGGGATGGCCTTCGGTTTGCAGCAGTGTTTTCCGTTTTCCCACCAAGCCATGAGACTTGGAGAAGAGTCTGCCATCCCAATTTTACAGGGACGGAGGCAGTGTGCCTATAGTTAAGGGCAGCTTTGGGGTCATGCAGGCCTAAGTGTCAGTCCTCCTCTGCCCCAAACTTCTCTGAACCTCAACTTGCCTCTGCCTCAATTTCCTTACCTGTAAGTTGGAGTAATCGCATCTATTTCACAGGGCCTTTGAAACCACATCATTTGATAACAAAATACAGAAAGCTCTGTTACTGCTGCTTTGATTTCTCCTCTTGTAGTTATGAGAGGAAACTGAGGGGCAGAGGCTGTCTATGGCTAGGACTAGAGCATAAAGCAGGCGTTCTCGGCCTTCCTGGCACTACTGATGTTTTGATCTGACATTTTGGATAATTCTTTGTTGGGGCTGAGGGCAGGGCCTGTCCTATGACTGAGGGTGTTCAATCGCTTCCCTGATCTCTGTCCAGTAGAGATCGATAGCACACTGACAGCCCCTGAGTCATGACAATCAATAACGTTTCCCAACTTTGCCTAATGATCCCTGGGGGGCAGAAGTGTCCTGGTTGAGAACCCCTGCTTAAATGTGAGAACTCTGAAGCTAGTTTATTTTTATTTTTG